TGCTACCTTAAAGGAAAGGCAGGTATGTATGGAAATTTGTCTTGAAGCTCATTTCAATTAATTCCTTTAATATTGGAGATTTTTTAATATAAGTATAATTTCTATGCATATTTTTGATATACTCCAGGGTATTATTCATGAGGAAGTAGAAAATTTGAGTTTTGACATAACTTCCATTGAAAACATCCAAATACAAAATCACACTCAATATTTTCAATAAATCCCCTCACCAACACCAAAAGAATTTCCCACCCATGCCCTCATTCTACCCTGTAAGGCTGCCCATATTCTACTTATCAAGACCCCCCTCTATCAATAGGTCAGGATTGTGCTAATGTTCAAGAGAAATTGTTTGGTGCTTTTAAAAATATTTACAATAGAATTGAAGAGAAGGGCACCATGCTTGATCAACTTGAAGCAAAGGCCAATTATCTTGAATACAAATTCATCCACCATATAACCAATTGTAAATTTCATTCGTAGAAAACTCCTGCATCCTCATCCTCATCTTACCCATTTGTATATAAAGCCCCTCATCTATACAAAAAGTCCCCACAGATGCCCCTTCAGCCCTCTCATCTATACATAAAGCCCCACATCTATATAGAAATCTCCCACAACTGCCCCTCAAGCCCACCCTTCTATACATAAAGCCCCCCTCCCCTTAACTACCTCCCAAGCTGAACTTAAAGCCTCCCTATCTATAAACAACCCCATAGCTACCCCATAAATAGAACATTAAGCCTCTCCAGCTTCCCCTGAAGCCTCCCATCTGAACATAAAGACTTCCCATCTGTATAGAAAGCTCTCCCAAATGCCCCTCCATCCCTCCCATATGTACATAAAACCCCCACAGCTGCATCTACAACCCACCCACCCATCTGTACATAACCCCCCACAGAACCCCAAACTATACAGAAAGCCCTCCAAGCCCCCGCATCTCCCCCAGATGAAATAATTTCTATTGATTCATTTAAAATTGTTGCTTCTCTTACAAATAACATAACTAAATATGCTGGAAGGGATTTTCTAAGTAAGCAATATTAATTGCTTATTTGTTATTGCTTTAAAAATTATACTGATTATTAGGAATCCTTTAGTTAATGTTACTATGCTTTTGTTGATTCTTTAGATGCACTTTCTTCGTGCTTTCATTGTGCTTTCACATTGCTGTCACTGTGCTTCATGGCACTTCACTATGCTTTCACTATACTTTCACTATGCTTCACTTCACTTCAATGTGCTTCATGGCACTTTAGATGCATTTTCCTGTGTATTCACTTTGTATTTTTTTTTTTTTTGCAGGAATGACATTATTTATTCTTCTGGTAACATTATGATATCGAGAGGTGATATTGATGACCTAGTTACAAATATATACTCGGATAATAATTATGTAGATGCATTTACTTTGTTGTTATATAAAAAGAATTCTTTGGTGATTAAATCACTCTTCTTGGAGATTACATGGAGAAAGGCATTTGAAATTATTGTAATCCACTTGATTAAAGATATTTGGTGCTCTTGCATAAACTTTGCTAATCATTGGATCAACTCCTTAAAAAAACATTATATTTATATTCTTTTAGTGTGATCTCTCATCTCATATACTTGTATCATACAAAAATACAAAAATAATTAACATAATCACGTTGTGTTGTTAACTAGTTTTGATTTTTCGGGTGCTAGTTTTTGCAATTAGTTTTCATCACTTTGGTACCTTCCCTTCAAATACTTTTGTGTGATTTTTTTTATGCAGCATTCTCATCATATTAGTGTTTTAAATCATATTTTTAATATTTTATATAAAAAAAATATCTATTGGTAGCTGATTTGATGAAAATTATTTTACCTAATCTACACCATATTCGTCGCCTTGTTTTGATTTGCCTTATGAAATTTTTTGTGATTTAACTTGTATGATTGAAAATAATAATTTCATCATTTTAATTACTATAACTATCATTCATCTTTGTTTCCATAAGTAGAAAAAATAAAATATTTTCATCATAGATATCTTTCCAACATAAACTTGTTTGTGACTCATCCTTGAGGCATGTTGGACTTATTGTAAAGCATTGTCAATAACTTTCGATTGAATCACCTTTGGAAATACTTAAATATTTTTATATCTGATATTTGTAGTGATTATTAACATATTATTTCCATATTTTTAAAATTATAAATTAACTCACTTTGTTTATAATTTTAAGTGAGACTAGTTGCCTTTGATTTCTATGTGTTTTTCAACTAGTCTTGCCATATCTTTTAAGTTAATTTGAGTGGAACTTTTGGAGAACTTTTAAAGTTATTAGTTGTTATCTTCATTACAGTTTTATCATATTAAAATCCAACAAAACTTATTTTATAGAATAGAACCTTTTCATAAGTATTCATATCACATCTTTGCATAATATAGCTAGTCTTTCAAAATTTGCATTGTCTTGAGTTTTAACTTTGCAAAATCATATATAAATATTTTCATATCACAATTTTCTCTCATATGCATAAAAATCAATGAGCAAAAACATTTTTTCAGTGTTTATTAATCTTTATTTTGTGTGAGGTTTATGAGAACTACATAATTTATTCCTTGTGAGAGCAACATTGTATTAAGCTATGACTTGACTAGTTTTCTTTATTTTTGTTTGTAACTTGATGCATTTTGAAAGTAAAAATAGTAAGTAGATAAGAAAAAAATATATGAACCAAATAGTAGGGCTGATTTTTTATTATCTTTTCAACAAATAATGAAACATACAATTGCTCTACTATTCAAGAGATAGATCAACTCTCCCATAAACCCTAGGCATCACTAGGAACAACTCCAAAGAAAAGATACAACAAACACAATTCATAATAAAAATAAACCACCCAATTAACCTTAAGATAAACATTCCTAGTTTTCTCCCAAATTTGAATTCAAATCAGTCATATTTTCCTAAATAAACATGTCCTAATTCCCTTCCAATCAAATCATTCATCTTTCTAAACCTTTCTTAATTCAATCCTAATAAAATCAACAATCTTTCCCTAAATAAATATTTCCTAATTAGTTTTTCCTTATTTCTCCTCCTTATATAATGAATAATTAATCTCCTGGGCCCCACAAGGGCATATCAATACTCCCCCCAAAGACACATCTTATCCTTAAGGGGGAAGGAAAAGATCTGTCTCCTGATCATCTCATATGGCTTTCATGTGGCTTCATTTATCTTTCTTGATAGTGCATCCCCAAAGGTTCTTGGGAGGTCTACTTCAACAAAGGTCTGAGTTCTCTTCCCGCTTCAGGAGGAAGCAAAAGGAGTCGGTTCTCTGCCGCACCGGGGTTGGTGAAAAGGAGTTTGTTGTAAAGGCTTCTCCGCCTAGCTGTGGGAGCTAAAGGAGAGACACTTAGTTAGTGCAATACTCGGAGGGTGCCTCCGAGGAGTGGACGTAGGTCAATAATTGGCCGAACCACTATAAATCCGTTGTGATCTTTATTTTTTTTTGCTTTCGTGTTTATTTTTCTGCACCTTGATTTCTGTGATTATTTGGTTTTTAAGTTTTGCTGTGCTTTACCTAAAGAAATTTTTTTAAAATACCAATTCACCCCCCTCTTGGTTAGCCTCGGGCTAGTTTTTAAGGGCTTAACATCCCTAACAAACTTTCATCCTTGTTTAGGGTCCTATAATCCATGCAAAACCTCTAAATATCATCCTTCTTTCTCACAAATAAAAATGGGTTCGAAAAGGGGCTCACACTTACCTTAATCATTCCTACCTCAAGCATCTTTCTGATGAACATTTTTATCTCATCCTTTTGAATTTACGAGTACCAGTACAATCATATATTGATAGGGGAAGCTTCATCTTTTAAGGTATTGGAGTGCTAGTGCTCCCTAGGTGACGATACTCCTCTAGGTTGCTGAAAAACCATAAGAAACTATTGTAGGAGCTGACATGCACACTCGAAGACCTCGACCAGCTATGAATCCCAGACTTCCACCTGGCTCTACATCTCCATCAAGTAGCCCATCCCTGCTCCTTGTATTGCCTTGACTGTGATTTTGAGTAAAAACCATGGTTATACATAGGCAAACATCTCCTTACAGCACCACCCTCTTCCCTCCATATGGATCTCCATAGTTAAATATTTACAGTCCACCTTCATCTCCCTGATCATCTATAACCACTTAATCCCTAGGATCACATTAGTGCTCCAAAAATCTAAGGGAAGAAAATCTTCCACTATCTGTACGCCCTGGAGTGTCCAAACTAACCTAATATATATCCTCCTACTTCTCTCCACTTTCCTTGTCCCCATCATGACTTCAAAGCTCCCTGTAACCATCAACTTCAATCTAAACTTGTCCACAACCCGATTTGAGATGAAGTTATAAGTAGCCTTGCAATCCACCAGGACCACCACTTGTCGCTTCTTGATTTATCCATCACTTTCATGGTGTGATTTGGAGTAAATCCCATCATTAAGTTAAGGGACACTTCCGCCATATCAGGGTGGAGGTGCTCTCCTCTTGCTTCTGCAATCTCTTTCAACTAATTGCTATCAGTCTCCTCCTCATCACAAACCATAAGAATTTGGAGTGTGCGGTTGTTACACTAATGGCCATATACATACTTTTCAGTACATCGGAAGCACAATCCCTTCCCTCTTTTGTACTCCATTAATTTTTCTTTAATCCAAACAAAAAAATTATTCACATGAATTTACTTTACACTAATCCAAATAACTCCAAAATATTTTGTTATACTCTATTTTTTTTAGCCAACCAAACAACCCCTTAAGAATTGATGCAAAGAGAGCGAGGCATATAATAAAGTAATAATTTGTTTTATTGTATAGATTTAGGCGTCAGATAACTAGATACAAATTTTATCAATTAGAGTGATATTTTCGTTTTATTACATAATTTTTGGTACAGGTTAACGACAAATTTTATGTTTAGATGGATAAATATGAATTATATGTTTAGATGGATAAATATGAAGTAAATCCTTCTTTATCCCTCGCGCGACCTCTTTTTTCCGGCGAGCGAGACTCAAGAGGATCTAGCATAGCAAGTGCAATGGCGCTTCTGCCGTCATTCCTCGCTCTACCCGCCTCCTCCCCTTCTCGTGCTGACACAACTTTCAACCGCGTCAGCCGAATCTGTAGCACTGGCGGCGCGGCGCATGATAATGCCCTCCTCCTTCGGGCAGCAGAGGTCGCGGACTGGTCGGCGGGGCACACTGCTCCCCACCCTAACTTCGGCTGTGTCATTGCTCGCAACGGCGAGGTTGTCGGAGAGGGCTTTCTCTACGCACAGGGAACCAAATGTGCCGAGCTCCAGGCTGTCGAGGCAGCAAACGAGCTAGGGCGCGGCGCCACCGCGTACATCAACATGGAGCCTGGTGATTGCCACGGAGATCAAACCCCAGTCTCCTCCCTTGTCCAGGTTCGCAATCATTCCTTGTTGTTCGCCGATTACTTGTGTGAGTTTGCTGGAGTAGTTTTGACGTAATTTTTCTTTTATTAATTTGAGAGACATGTGCTGAAGCTGTATATCTGGTCGAGTAGTCTATGATTTTCATGCACCATGAAACTTGAATTTGATCTGTATTTAATTTTTTTCTAATGTATTAGATAAGGCGTACGCCTAAGTGGGAGGATTTTCCTCTAAAAAAGAGTTAGCCTGTCCTCATTTTGATGAATTTGAAACAAGAGGAAGCTGAGGTTCATAATTCCTCAGACGTGGCTCCGGCCTTTCTTCAAATAATTGGACTACTCATCTCATTTGGACAAATTTGAATTGAGAAGAATTTGAGGTTCATAATTCTTAAGACAAGCCTATGTTCTTCCTCCATTAAAGAGGTAGACTGCCCGTGTTTGGATGATTATGAACAGAGGGCGGTCACTATTTTCCTTCGAAGGCTTTAGTTTTCCATTTGAAAGAGGTGATTCGTCATATTTTAGTGTACAATAAGAGGATAGGCTACTTTCGTGCAATTTACACATTTTGATTTTCTTAGAATTTAAAAACAAAATTTCCTCTTTTTTTTTTTACTTTTTTGGATAGAAGTGCTTCGGAAATTTCCAAACAACTTAATATTTCAAAATATTCCCAAAGATTGTGGAACTTTCTCTCCTCTCCCGATACTCTAAATTCTCCTCGGGTCTCGTAGATATCATAATTTTCATCTCCGTGCTTCTATAAAAACTATGCTGCAAGAGGCATAACTATGGCGGTGTCTATAGTTCGTAATTTCTTTGGTGAAGCTCTAGTCTTCCTTCAAAAAAGAGGTAGATTATTATTATTGATACGGCATCACAAAATTAACTTGATCGGGCACGAATCTAGAGGCAAAAGCTAGTTGGAAACTTCAAAAAATTAATTCCGAGAGCACCCGAACTCCGATTTCAGTGAGCTTACAGTCAAACTGAGCGTCTCGGAAATACAAATCCAACGACACCAAATTCGACCCAATCCGAGTCCAAATGGGTCCGAACCAAGGACCCGAAGCGCTGTTGGAAGGTTCAAACCGCAATTTGAGTTACCAAACGGTCTCCGATTTTAACGAGCTTATACTCGAATCGAACGGCTCGACGAGACGAGTCCAACGAGCCCAAGATCACAGAATTCCGACATCACTAAGGCCTTCAAATGTCCAACGAACGGTGCATGATCATAGGATTCAATATCGGCCGTCCATTCGACCACTCCCTATTCGCCCCTGATCTCACGCCTATTTACGGGTCATGCCACTCCAGAAAATCTATAAATAGAGCCCTCATTTCTCATGAGGAGGGAGGTCCAAGCAAGAAGAGAAGGAAGAGGAGAAGGAAGAAGCTCCTCCTCGACCACCGTCGGAACCTTGCCGGACCACCGCAGGAGCCTCGCCGGACCACCGCCGGAACATCGCCGGACCACCGCAGGAACCTCGCCGGACCACCGCCGGAATCTCGCCGGACCACCACCGAAGCCTCGCCGGAGTTTCATCCCTACGTCCTGCTTTAGGCCCGACGTTCAGTCCCTACGTCCCGCTGAAGGCCCGACATCCTGCTTAAGGCCCGACGTTCAGACCCGACGTCCTAATTAAGGCCAGACTATAAACACCCGATCTTCCAAGTGACACTGGGTTTAACACCTGACTCCTTGTCTCTTGCTGACTACGGTCCTTTCTGACCTCTTGCCGCCTACTACGGTCCGTCTGACCTCCTCACCAGACAACTGTTCTCCAGACCCTGGTCTCCTGCCGACTATAGTTCTTCAGGCCTTTGTCGCCTACTATGGTCCTTCCGACCTCCATCAACAGACAACGGTCTTTCTGACTCCGGTCTCCTGCCGACCACGGTCCTTCAGGCCAAACAAACATGTATATGTAACTCTTACCATGTAATGCAATCTATATGATGTATATTTGCTACATCAATCCAAGGCCTTCTCCCAAGGAAGGGCCTCATTTGTAATCGACTACAAATACTAGTGGATTCATTCAAACTGGGCCAGGCCCCGTGGTTTTTCCCCCTTTTTTAGGGGTTTTCCACGTAAAAACTTTGGTGTCTCTTATGAATGCTACACCCTCTCACTTATCTGCTTGTGTGCTGGATCTTCGTACAATGCTAAGACGTTAAACTAAATATTTCTCTACCGCCGCGATTACTCCAGGACGCAACAATTATTTTGGGGAATTTTAAACGAAGAGAAGCATTTGAATTTCATAAATCTTATGACTTAGTTTTCCTTTGAAAAAGATATCAATTTTCCTTGTTTGAATGAATTTGGATTGACGAGAGATAGTCTAACTTTATAATTTTTAGGAAGCGGCTCTGTTCTTTCTCTCAAAAAATAGTTTACTGTGATATTTGAATGACAAACCAAGAGAGGCAAGGGTGAATTGATTCTTTTCAAAATATTTTATGCAATTAATGCAAGTGGAGAAATTAAGAGATTGGTAGGAAATGTAAGTTACAGGGAAATTGAATTGCATGAATATAAATGATATAAGAGAAATTGATGAGAGATAGTAATATTCATGTAATTCGGCCTACTCCTTGGATATACATCGGCACCTAGCCACCTCATATAGTTAGGATTACCACTATTCGAAATTTGACTTGCGAACTCCCTTTCCATCCGTGGAGAATCCTTACACCCTTGCACTCTCACACTCTCACACTCTCCTATACTTGGCGCATATAACCCCATTTCAAAGTCTCTTAAATTGACCTGCCATATGGGCAAGTATAACCCAACTTTTAATACAATTTGAAATAGACTAAGTCATCATAATAACTTAACAAATAAATAAAAATACAAGATATAACAAATGATAATACCTATGCAAATTTGCTACATGACATCCAAATACAATATTTAAAACCTTAGGGCATGCAATTAGTTTGGCATTAACTAAGCAGAGCTCACACATAAAATATAATTTTGATTTTAGATTTTAGTTATTCAACATTCGTTTTTCTTTTAGAAGTAATAAAAAAATAAAAAAATGGGGATTTTTAAATGGTTGGAGATATTGATTTGAAATGAAATGTACACAATCAATAAACCAAAAAGAGTTAGGATGAAAATCTGAAAACAACTTCAGCTTTAGTAGAATGCCTTAACGTGCTATGCTGTAAAAACTTGTAGTTAAGTTTTGTTTCAATGTTTTGATGAGGAATCCAAATTCAATGCTTAAAAAACTAGAAAATTATATAAAGAAAAACTTTTAAATAAACTATGGAAGTCTCACAACTAATTTCAGGTTTAAAAAAAATCTAACAATATACTTCACTTTTAATTCATTGATAGTGATGAAATCAAATTTTTAAGTGTTTGAGGATGAGTAAAACATGTTTCACAAAAACATGAAATGAACATTTGAAAATCTGACAAACCTGAAACAAACTTTGAAAAACCTTTGATTGTTTTTGGAAGGTCTTGTTTGCTAAAAATTGGATCAAAGTCCTTGATTTGTAGTTGCTAAAAGTTTTGAAGTGGTTTGCAAATGACTCTCGAAGGAAACTATGTTCTCATATTTTTGGTTATTCAGGAGTCGGTAAGATTACAGAGAGGTAGATGTAGATTTAAAAAGGCTTGGTTAGAAGATATTTGAAATGATATTTTTATTTGATTTAAATGAGAATATGACCCCTAACAGAACACAATGGAGAAAAAATGATTCATGTAGCCGATCCCACATAGTTGGATAAAGGTTTGATGATGTTGTTGTATCAAATTTGTTGAAATGAAATGTAAACTTTATAAAAATATTTTTGGTTATTTTCAAAATATGCGAAAAATTAGTTATAAATTCCAAGAGAAAATTTTTATATTATTGTTTATGAAACTTTGGGGTATTACAATTTTCAGCGGTTTGGCATCGGTATTGTTATTGTTTGAAGAAGCGGTACTGAAGCTCCATGAATCAACCATCACATTTTTTGATCCATCCTCCATCTCTCAACCAAAGATTCTTGATCACCAAAATCCTTTAAATATCTAAGGAACTTTGCAAGTTCTATATTAATCTTTTTTCTCCTCTCCTCATTTAGAAAATATCGTTTCAAGCATATCTTTATCATATTTGACACTTCTAAATCTTTTTGGGTTATTGTTTGAAGAAGCGGTACTGAAGCTCCATGAATCAATCATCACATTTTTGGATTCATCCTCTATCTCTCAACCAAAGATTCTTGATCACCAAAATCCTCTTAATATCCAAAGAACTTTGCAAGTTCTATATTAATCTTTTTTCTCCTCTCCTCATTTGGAAAATATCGTTTCAAGCATACCTTTCTCATATTTGACACTTCTAAATCTTTTTGGGTTGAGACACGTTGAGGGTCTTCTTGAAACCATTTTTTACTTGAATACCTTCAAATAATACAAAGCATATAAAATTATTTATTCATTTACCAAAAAATTTAAAATTAATTTAAAAGATGAATACAAATGTACCTTGGATTTAATAAATGAGCCAAACAATGCACAGGTGTGTTACTTTTGGTCCACATATCCTAAAGAATGGTATAGACAGTGCGCCAAAAACTTGAGTTTTCATTATGTGACTTTTTTTTCATGTATGTATATAATTTCTTTTACTTTTGTTAATATAGAGTCTCACATCTCATAAATCAAATATAGGCATGATTTATCTGTGTCAGCCTCTCTCAACATGGCATAAGTCAGATTAGTGAAAGCCAAAATGTAATCTACATCATTCCACCACAAATCATCTAAGACCTTTTCTTTCTCGTACCGTGCCTTCTCAACATCATCTTCTCGATAGCAAAACCACTTCTCACTAATCATTATAGATTGAAGAATATTTTTTATTTGTTTGAATTTTCTCAACATGATTATTACAGAGGCAAAATGAGTTTCAATAATAGCTAACATTCTCAAATGTGAGAAATCATTAAACATTGAAAGTCTCATTGAGTGGTTCATAAAGA